ACAAACTTAATTTATCTTTATTAAAGTAGGGTGAAAAAGAATTCTCACTTAAATATAAGGATTTTCCCTTGTGTTTTATTGGATGTGGTACAAAGACCAATAACCAGGAACCAAGATCCCTGAATTTGAGGCCTGTATTAATTTGCCGAGAGAAACTATGCTACATGATGTGATAAATTACCATAAACTGCATGGTTCAGAACAGAGAAATTCATTGTTTCACAGTTTTGGAGGCAAGAAAGTTTATGGGATATTGGTCAAGACATCTTCCTTGTAGAGATATTAGGGAAGAACCATTTCCTCTCACGTAGGTTTTGGAAGTTTCTTGGCTACTGTTAGCATATCTCCAGTCTTTGCATGGTGGTCATTCCATCAGCATTTCTCTTTGAGTATTCACATTTCTTAATCCACATTTGTTTCTTTATATGAGGATCATCTCTACTGACTTTATCATAACTGTTTCTGCATTGATCCTACTTAAAAAAATAAGTTCACTTTCTAAGGTAGCTAGAATTGCACCTTCAGTGTAAGAGTTTCTGGGGATCCAATTCAACTCACAACAAGGCCTAGTTTACTTGCAATGTGATTTTAAGTAAATAAATATTTGCTCTTTGACTTTCAAGACAAGTATTCTAGCTTGGCATCTTTTTATCAAAAAGTGTTTAGAAGTACCATGCAGCCTCAAGATTCTAAGACCTTGAGATACTAGACCCTAAATTATTTCATAAAGGATAAAGCATACCTAAAGGATCAAAAAAGATTTGACCTCTTAATATAAGAAGTCACAAAAATTACTGTTTTTTCTCAGAAGACTTTGACTAAAGGAGAGAAGCAAAAAATGACCAAATTGAAGGAAACTTCCATGATCCTCTGGAAGAAACTGCCTTCCATACCAAGTTGTTTCCTTGTCTCTGCATAAGACCTACCCTTGGCTGGACACGCCTGCCCTCCAGGGCTGCCTCCTTCATGTTGGACGTGGACTGGTGAGATATTCTGAAGTTGGGTCTATGGCACTCACTATAGGTTCCAAACTGACCTTCTGTGATTGGACTAAGCCAATGTTACTTAGAGGTAATGTCAATCCCCTTCTCCAGGGATGACCCTTATTTTGACACCCTTGGAACTGGTAGAAGCTACAGCATCCCCTCCCCCAAAAAAACTTGGATGTTCCTAGCTCTTTTGTTCTTCAACATAAATTAGAAATTCCAGGTTTTTCAGTCCTGAGTCTCCATCACAGAAAATAACCCACCTTAGGTAGTATTTCGGGTTGTCACTGAATCAAGAAGAAATTCTATCAGCTAAACATAAGCTGTGGCACTTTTACCATTGCAGTTAAAATGATTAAAAAAAAAACTTGGCACTACATTTAGAAGGACAGATTAATTATGACATGGTTAGAAACCATTGATATGTGTGGATGCTTATCAAGTAATTATTCAAACCCACACATTCACAAGAAAACAGGAAAATTCTTATGAGAAATTTACCTCTACAAATTTGAAAAGTTCATTCCTAAACTTGCTATGATTTATACACCCACATTTAGATAATTTGAATTATGTATTAAACACATGCTTTAAAAATATTCATCATTATAACATGTTTTACACAACAGTGTGGTATATTTCTTGCTAGAAATTCATTATTAATATATATTTTTAGGATACATTCAAATGTATCAAAAAATGTAGCTGCATTTATTGATAACAAATGAAATTAATGGAGCATCTGTGAATGAGATTTTAATTTAATTACCTGAAACTCCATAAGATCTTAAAGTTGGATTTCCAAATTCATCAAGATGCTAAAAATGAGATTGTTTTTAAGCATAGGAGAGCAGGAAAATTAACGAGTTTCTCCTTCTTTAGCACAAAGTATAGTTTACTGAAGACTTCCCTGTGAATATGACATTGAAGTGACCTACAAAATAACAGCAGTCAGAATTTAACGTAGAGAACCCACGGGAATTTACACACACACACACACA